ACTGAAGAGGCCAGGAATCCAGTAGTGCAGACCATAAAGCTGAGCATTTCAGCAGTTGCTGGAGCAGAAGAACTGGAGGGTTCTTGGAGAGCCGCTGACCTCAGTTTGTGTTGGAATCCAGGAGGAACTGACTGTAATGTGGGCAAAGGAATGCCATAGCAACAGAGCAGAGGTTCTCACCTTCCTCATGCTGTGGCCCTTCAACACAGTTTCTCATGTATGGTGACCCCAACCAGAAGCCTATTTCCATCCTTGCTTCCTAACTGTAATTTTGCTACTGTTATGAATCGTGCTGAAAATACCCATGGTTTCCAGTGGCTCTTAGGTGACTCCCGTGAAAGGGTCCTTCCACTCCAGGGTCGCAGCCCAGAGGTTGAGAACGGCTTTAGGGCAGGTCGTCTTTCTTCAGATGAGCTGACGGAAATTCTTCATAGGAGTGCAGCTGCTGCTTGCATTTCCCCGCCCCAGATGCTCTCAACTGAAACCAGATTCCTCACACTACCTTAGCAGAAAACAGTGTTTGTGCTGATCCTGTAGTTTCCCCTCCATACGAATACTTTGGTTTTGTGTTGTTGTCATGAATACGCCCCTTGGGGTAATGTCTCCCTTTTCTCCTTGTTAGTTTGTTCCGCACCTACAGGCCACTGTTAAGATACTGACTGGGCGGAGCACTCGCGCTCAGTCTGAGAAACACTGCAGACAGCTTTAGAAAGGTCATGGAGTAACAGATTCTCCCTTTTCCTTGTGCCGAGAGGAAGGAGCTCTACAACACCTGAACGTGAATTCTTTTGAAGTGCTTTTCCTTTCTAGATCTTGTGCATACATCATACTATCTTATTTTTGTGGCTGTGATACTAAAAATAGGTGCCTTTTTCATTCCCTCTGTCCCTGATATTAATTGCTTGCTTTTTCTAGGTCAGGTTGTACTCTGTAAGCATCTATCATGACCCGTGAATCACTGGAAGCAGTGCTGTCCTTTCTGGGTGGTGATTATTAGAAAACTTAGAGCAGGCACCGCACTATGGCATCTTCATTAGGAGTACATACCACCTTTCTTCTGCTCTGTACTTCTAGTGGCTCCCGAGAAGTGCGCATTGCAGGCGACCGCTGTCCATGCCAGAGCTTACCTGGAGGAGGAGAGCCTTACTGTGGAGCACACCTGTTTAATTTTGGGGTCTGTTGAAAGATTACAGGTGCTCAGACTAGGGCATTACAAGTCCAGGCTTTGCTACTACATAGGCTGTGCTCCATGAGTCTCATGTTGCCCGGGCCAGGCTGAAAACAAGCCACCGCTCTGACTGCCGCTCTGGACTTAACGTCAGCTTTTATTTGCCTTTGCTGGTGATCTGACTTCTTTGAAGTATGTTGTTGTCACGGAAATTTATTTGAATTAGATGTTTTAGATAGTAAGATATTTTGTAAGGGAATTATGGAAATAGAATCTCATACAAAACATGTAATTTGGGAAACACAAGTGCAAAATATGTAAATGATAGGCTTTCTAATTTTCCCCTGGTGTGAGTTTATGTGTGCACACCATGATATTTGACCTCTAATTTTCCCCTGGTGTGAGTTTACGTGTGCACACCATGATCTTTGATCTCTAGGATATCGATCTTAGAGCCTCTCCTTGCATTGCAAACTTCCTAACTGTTGGTGGGCCTACTTTCTGTACTCGTAATAAATTTCTGGGTCTCCTCTCTTTCTTGATCTTTCCAGTGACTTCTTCCCGTCTTATACTCTATGTGGCATGGCAGAGACCCCTGCCTTGTTGTCTTTGCTGTCCCTGTATAGCATTGGCCCACATCTTCTGCTCTGAGCAGCCTCCCACCCAGGCTGTCACTTCTTGCTACGTAGGAATCTTGCAATCAGTTGCTTGATGGCCCCTTATGTTTTGAGGAGCACCTTTCATTTTTCAGCCAGCGTTTTCCTCCCCCTTGCTCCCGTGCCCTCCTGCCATGTTTCCTCCCTCCTCGGCCCTCACATCTTCACTTGTCACAGATTTTTTTCAGTCTTGCTTTTCCCTGTTTCAGAGGAAAAGCTCTCCCACTTTCCAAAATGAACTTTCCAGTTTGTAAATATGCCCACTGCTGCCTGCTCTGAGACCTTTGTTTAGCCGTGTGTCTCTGTCTCTTTCATCGTCTCAGAGCTGCTTTCCTTTCAGTTCCTCTTCTGCTTACAGATTTGTCTGTGCTTTCCATGTCAAAATTATTTTAGAAGAAAAAACCCAAATTCTGTGTCAGGTAATTTTTTTATTAAAATTTTTATTAAAAACTGTAAAACCCACAGCCTATCACAACCTAACAAACCACTTCATTGTGCTGAGGAATTCAGAGGTACATCTCAGTTCAAGTGTGCTTCGATGCAGGTCCACCGATGCCCATCATGGGACAGGATGTGTCTAGACAGCATATGCCAAGACCACCCATCTCCTGTCCTACTTTGGTTCTTCATGTCAGCTTCATTCTCAGTTAGCTCTCCTCCCTGGCTTTTGGGTCCTGTGTCTGAGGCATCTTTTCCACTTCTGAGGGTCTCCCTGCACCTCACCACGAGTTGGTGAAGCCACATGAAGGGGATACTCGATAGCCGGGCTTCACCTCTCCCCCCAGTGCGCCACCATCCTGACTTGTTGCAGTCAGGAATAGAAGAGTGTGCTAAGCGAGGACAGAGTAGGACTTAGAGACCCCCTCCCAAAAGTTTCCATCTGTTTTTTTCTACCCTGAGGGAGGGCTTGTCTAGAAAATAAGTTATATTCAGGTGGACTGAACTGATAGGAGATTGGTGCAAATCCATGGAAAGTGGAAATAAGACCCAGGGAAATGCCAGCTGGAACCATAAGCATAGCAATTACAAAAGCAAGCTTCAGACTCCACTGAACTGACCAGTGGTTGAGCGTCTAGTGCGTATATTCTCTCTAACCTTCAGTGATTGCCATCACTCTTAGGAAGGTCCTTCTGCATGTGTATGTATCTCTCTATATAGATCCAGTTACAGGACAGGTGTAGAGACCGCCTGGTGACTCAGAAGTTGTGTCTCCATGGCACCTATATGTAGAGGGGGAGGTCACTCTTTCTCAGCCTCACCTTGCCATTTCGGCTTCTGTAACACAGAGGCCCAGGAGGAGAACACTCCTCCTTACAGTGCTTGGAGCCCGTCTTTCCATATCCCACCTTCTCCATCTGAGTCTAGGGGCTTGAGTTTCTTTTCTTTTGGAGATTTGAGAAATAATAAAGATGTCTAAAATTAATTAGCTAGAAAGTACGAAAAAAGTAGAAAAAACATGCATATATCTGTGTATTGTTTATGTCAGAACATTACAGGGAATCAGGAACACTAAGGTTTTCTCTCCTTAAGAGGCAGTGCCAATCGGTCCTTCTAGCGTTGTGTTTTTGATTGTCCCTTTGTAGAATCTGTAGCCTAGTCAATACTGGTTAATACTACATGGCAAATAGCCTTGAGTTCACTGTGTCAGAGGTGGTTGCTGTTGCTCTTTCTATGTGGCTCTGTGTTACCCCGTTTGCCTGTCAGGTGGAATCTTGAGTCCAGTTTCCTTTATTGGGCTTCTCCTGCTTCTGTCCATTCTAATCTTTACCCCTTCATGCTCTTCTCTGTGCGTTAGAGAAACCAATTACCAATCAACCTTTGCTCGCCAGAGTCTTTATACCCCACCTTTTCTATGTTTAGTTCTTAGCTGAAAATGTGTTATTAACATGTTGTTAATATGCCTCAGATGGATATGGCTTTTATTTCTGAAGAGCATTGTTTTTGACAAAGCAGATCTTAGCATGCAGAAACTGTCGCATGTAGTGAAACGCCAGGGTGCAGTGGAGGTCTTGGAAGAGGAAGGGTAAGGATGGAGTGCGAGTGCTGACGTGCATACAGGTGATGTTGACGGAGGATGGAGTGTGGGGTGCTGACGTGCATACAGGTGATGTTGACGTTTTGAAGGACTACGTTGTTGGGGCCCACCAGAGGCACAGCTGTATGTGAGGTGTGTTACACAGTAGCAGGGACTTCGGGGCGAGGCTGACACAGCTGCTATAGGAACCTTCTGTCTCCTGCTCTCTTCTTGCCGAAGACTCTCATGGACTGTTGGTCAGAGTCTAGACAAGGTGTTTGTGCCTTATGTCCAAATAACTGAAAGCCAGAGCTCACACAGGTTTGTAAAAGAAACAAGATAACTTTGTTTGGAGGAAAGGGAACAAGAGGACACGTTGTCAAGATGGATGGTGAGGCCATGGATGAAAAAATGCAATCGGTTTCTTCCTTTCCTCCCTCTTGTTCACCTGCTCCTTATCCTTCCTTTGGTAGGCCAGCTCTCATCTCTCCATTCCATTTGATTTCCTTTTTTGGACATAATTGAATCTCTTTGCTTAAGCGTATCAGTGTTTACCTTTTCCATTTTCGTGACTGACGGCATGACCAAGTAATACAGCCTTGATCTGGAATGACCCCTCTTCTAAGGGCTCATGTGTTTTAAAAGTCATGGTTTTCAACTTGGCATTAGTGAGAGGTAGTGGAACTTATCAGAAGTGAGGCCTGTGGGGAGGCCTCCAGGTCATTGGGGTGTGCTCTTAGAGGGGCTAGTGGGATCTTAGCTAGCTCTACATGTATTCTACAATGTGTTTTTATCATGGCCCCAAAGCAGTGGGGAAGCCCGCATAGATGGAAACATTCAAAGCCTTCCTTCCTTGATAGTTTTTTCTCTGATGGAGTGCTAGCCAACACTCCCAGTGAAGCTTGAGCCTTTGTCTTTCCCTCAGTGACTGGATAGATTTCTGCAGCCATCTTCCGCTCACCTTTGGCAATTCCTTAGACCCCCACATCTGTTCTCCAGTCTCTGAGATACAGGTTATTACTCAGGCCTGATGATAGAGTTTGCCGTGTCCTCAGTGAGTAGAACTTCACAGTACAAGGCACACCTCAGGAGTAGCCTGCCTGAAGACATGCTCCCCCTTCAATTGAAGCGCAGTGACTAAACTAACCTTAAATCGTTTCAGAGTGCATTGAGAATGGATATGCGAAGTTCATGGTGATAAATTTGAACAATAACAGACAGCACCTGCCTCTTATTGGGAAAGTTGGCCTTGCATGGAGAACTACTATTTTTAATGGCTTTATTGAGGTAAAAACAAAAGCTTTTTTTTTCTTCAAGTAACTTTATGTGTAATTAAAAAACAAGTCTGTTGATGTGTGTGTATAACCCTCCCTTAAAGTATTCTGGTTTCTGTAGATTTGTGAATTCTTTTGTCAGAATGGTATCTTCATCAAGAATTTATTTAATGTTTTATATTGGTTACTGTTCTATTGCCATGAAGAGACACCATGACCAAGGCAACTCTTATAAAGGAAAGCATTTGGCTGGGGTCTTGTTTATGGTTTCATGATCATCATGGTGGTCAGCGAACAGGCATGGCACTGGTACAGTAGCCGAGAGCGTACATCCTGATCCACAGGCAGAGAGATGAGTCAGGCACTAGGTCTGCTGTAGGCTTTGAAACCTCTAAGCCCACCCCCAGTGCACATCTCCTCCAGCAAGGCCAGACCTCCTAATCCTTCCCAGCCAGTTCTACTAACTGGGGACCAAGCATTCAAACATATAATTCTGTGGGGGCCACTCTCACTGAAACCACCACAAATGCCTGTGCTGTCCACGGAGTATGCTGGAGAAGGATGGGCAGGTAGACTGTAGCCATGTTTGGATAGCTCCGACTGTACCTCTAGTTCCTCACACCCTCAGTCTGTCTGGCAGAGGAAGAGGGGAGCTGAAAGTTGGCCAGGCAAGTAGCATTTGCTGAAAATGGACATTTCTACTTATTTGAAGGCTGTGCAGTTATGAGTCCTGTTCCAGTTTTAAGGATCTTGATCAGCTAAATGAACATAGCTAAATGGTGGGGGGTGGGGAGAGTTGGTTTAGGGATGGGGACTGTCAGGAAAGGAGGGAGAGAAATTAGGAGATCTCCCATGATTCCATTCTCTTATGTGACTGTTGCCGTGGTTACCGCTGGTTCTCTTTACTGGATGGCACGAGTGGGGTCTGGGAGTCACAGGTTAGCTGTGGCTGCAGGCGCCTTTGCACCTTGCTCGTTTTGCCCTCTGATGTGGATGACTTGACCATGCCAGGGCGGCTGCAGTGGAGCCTGATCTTCTGAACCACCTGGGTTTGCTCTTCATCTGTGAGCAGACCTTAAATCTTGGTAAAAGATTTGAATGTCATTTATAAGATTATTGTTTTATATCTTTGAGGACAAACGTGAACTTCCATCTTTTTGTGATAGACCAAAATGGCCATGATGTAAAAACACATTAAAATAAAATATTAAAGTTAAAAATAGATCTTGAGGACCAAGAAAGGCAGAATATAAATATGGCAAGTGTAAAGGGTCTGTGTAATTTTAAAGTTATTTAATTCTATTTTTTCTTCACAGCAAGATCAAAGCAGGTGTGGAGTTCTCTGAGGTTAAAAAGGGAAGTCTAGTAATTCTACCATGAGACAAAGCTTTCATATAGCTCTAGTGCTGAAAATAAAGTCTCCCCTGGAACTACATGTAAGGAAAGCTCAGCCCTGACCCTGAGTCCTTAGCAACAGGTGTTCTGTGGACTTCTGCAGCATTTCTCGAAGAATCGCTGCAGAACCTGCCCCTCCAGCTCAGGGCACGTGTCTGTAGGTTGTCCATGTAAAGGCATGACTCCGTGTCTCTGTAGGGGCAGTGGCTCTGGAAAGTTTCTCTAGCAATACCTTTTCTCTCTCAGGGAAGAGTTTCTTGTCTCTCCTGAGTTGGAGGTTAGATGGATCTGCATATGCCACTTATATACGGGCCTAGGTCTGGAGTTAGACTTACTGTTCTAAGCGAAGAAGAGACCCAGGCCTCTAAATTATCAGTTCCAGGCTATGCTGTTATCAGCCGTTCTGATCATGGGTCTGTGGGTTTTTCTCTGGGCTGCAGTTAATCATCTCTTCTGCTGTCCTTGAGAGTAAAACACAGCAGTGAATTTCCTGAACTAAAGTCATCAGTAAGCTGGGGTAGCCATGAGCATAAGGAATCTTTTAAGTGGGGTAAATCCTCAACAGCAGCTGGGGCAGGTGGTAATTCTGTGTCCTTGGAGATCTGTGACGAGCTTAGGTGGACGCTCTATCCCTAATCACTGCTGATAAAGATAACTGCAGAAAGGCAGATCTCTGTGTTTACCTAGGGGAGAGGAACAGAGGCCTGGCAGTTCTGAACTGTGGGAATCAGTTCCCAAATAGATATCAGAAAGGGAGTTAGGTACAGAGAAAATCTACTGCAAAGGACAGCCACTTATTCATAAAGCAATAATGCCAGAAAGCCTTGCTTTTTGGTTTAGCCTTTATCAGATCCCTTGATTCTGATAAGTCACGTGTGAAAATATGGCTGAGCAATTACTGTATAATGTTGCAGCTTGTAGCAAAAGAGATTTTTTTATTTCTAATAGTCATATGTGACTACAAAATATCCTTTTTATTTTATTTTATTTTTTTTTTGACAGAACCTTACACTGTAGCCCCAGCTTAGAAATCTACATAGAGCTTGGACCAGTCTGAAATAATCCAGATCAGACAGGACTAGTGGTGGGCACAGCGGGGCAAGAGGAACTAGGGTGGCACCAGACTTCAGAAACTGATGGTCAGTGGTGCCACTCCAGTGCCCAAGGTGCAGCTCTCGGGCAGGGATGAGCATGGGTTTGAATAAGTTATGCCGACTGTGATTGACCTTTGTCATTTTGTTGAGCAAGAACTTGGATATTTAGTTTTTTGAACCTGAAAGAGGTTTAGCCTGGAGGTACATATTGGAAGTCATGGATATCTTGATTATTATGAGTTGTGGATGTAGATAAATTCTGTCTAGGGAGAGAATGATTATATATAATAAAACCTGTGCTCTAGGTCAAGCTGTTAGGACCGCTGTTAGAATTGCCTGGTGGAAGGTATGCATGGTTCTAGAAGTTCTGGGAAAGTAGTATTTGAAGCAAAGAATGCTAAACAGTGCTGAATTTGTCCAATGGGGACTTGACAGATGTTCACTGTGTTTAGAGATCTTAGGAAGAGGTGGGATCAGAGTGGGTTGAAGTGTGAGCAGGAGGTACGGTTTTGGACACAGGCAAGATAGGTCTGCTTGCAGAGGGAAGAGAGAGCAAGTGTCGCTTAGGCTCTGGGAGAGTTATTTCTCTCTGTGCATCTGTCCGTTTGTCCCCTCCCTCCCTCCCTCCCTCCCTCCCNCTCCCTCCCTCCTTCCCTCCCTCCCTCCCCAGAGTCACTTGAACAAGTCTGAATGTTAAAAACTGGGGGGAAAGAGACAGTACTTACTGTGTCAGAGGCTACCTCCTTGTTGGTGGGCTATACTAGAACCCACCTGATAAAAGCACACTTAGCACAGATGTGCAAGTAAGGAGAGGGTGGAGGACATAGTTGTGTATTTGCTGTTGAAGAGGAAGGTGCTCTTCTCACATTGCTGTGCAGGGGCACCTGTGAGCAGGGCACAGAGGGTCATGGGAGAGGATGAGGATGCCAGTTCAGGGGGGGAGAGAGACTGTCCCACAATGAACAGTATATTAAAAGACTTCTGAGCATGTTATGGCTCCCTGGGGATAGCGCTATCTGTGGCTCTGCTGCTGTGCAGGGCAATCAGATCCAGAAACGCATGAGATACCTCAGCTCAGGCACGGCTCGGTTGCAGTAGGTCTGGAGCCAAAGGGAGATAAACTGATGAAGAAGTCAATCCAGTGAAGAACAGTGAAACAGACGTGATTGAGATGGGGCCTGGGGAGAGTTAGAAGGCTGGTAGTTTAGAGGTCATGGGCCATGATGTTCCCCAAACCTTTTCAGACACACAAATGTGTGTAATCACACATACTCCTGTTATCTAAGCAGAATTTACTAAGATAGCGTTGTTTGTAATTTCTCCTTTTAACACATAGTTGTGCCTCACAACATGTGATTTAGGATGCAGTGGCTTACAGTGACAAAATTCTGGCGAATCTGTAGTCTAGTGGTCTGGGAACTAGGAGTAGCTGAGTAGAGACAAGTGAAGAGACAAGCTAGAAGCAGGGCCCACAGTGTTGATTCAGGAGGTCAATCTGTGGGAATGGATAACTGAGGTGAGGTTGACGAATCGATACAGGAGTCTGAGAGTCTGTTACTGGATCCACTAGCAGTTGGGATCACTGAGGAGATGGTGGGACCTGAGGGAGAGCGAATGAGGGGAGCACACAGGTGGATCGAGAGCCTAGTGTCAGGAACAGTATAAACCAGAGGATGGTGGACAACAAAGGAACCCGAGGCCAGCGTTGGAGAGCTGAAAGTTTGGAACTGCAAGGAAGGCGACAGTCTGGTCGAGCATTGAGAAGCTGCTGTCCAGGGCAGGGTGTCACCCTCTTAAACAATGGCACGGGCCTCTCTTGTGGAAGACCTGTTGCCTTTAGCCAGGCTCCAGCACTGACAGCTCCTTGTGCACACATGAGGATGAGCACGTGCATGGGAAGTCTACGTGCTGACTGGGTTTGGATAAACAGGAGGTCCTGTGATGTGCATAAAGGACTTTGGAGTTGGATGCCACAAGCAGCCTTTCCAGTCAGTTAGTGTTAGAGTCGCAGTGCCTGTGGAAATGAGCCTGCTGTCCTGACGCTTGTGAATCTTCATTACAGAATTGCTCTTTCATGGACCTGACTGTTCTGGAAGAGTACAGGAAGCCCTTTTGGTGTGTGACTTCTCCAGTGCACTTGAGGTCTGTCCCCCACCCCTCTGATGGTCCTCATTTCCAGGGGCACACTTACTATGTGGACTACATGGACCCAGAAGGAGGAGTGCATGCAGAGCTGTTGTGGATTGAAGAGACAGAAGAATACTTCATTGTCAGCCTGGTCCTTTACCTCAGTGTAGCAAAAATAAACCATTGGTTTGGGACAGCATACTGAGTTTTAGAAATAGGTGCAAAGTCTTGTTACTATTGAGGTGTTTATATTTTATTTTTACATTTTTGTTCTTATTGAAAATTAAAATAAAGCATACCCACAGCAGTCTGTCTGATGCCTTCTTATTTTTCATTAGTGACTCTGTCTTTGAGTAAAGTGTTTGGAAGATTTCTTTAGCTGTAGTATACTGAGATTGCTCCTGAATAGGTGTGAGCTGCAGAAGTCACAGGCAGAAAGGCACACTCAGTTAGCACTACCAGGCTGGAGACCAGGAAGGTTAGGCCTGAAGGACAAGCAGTAGGGTGCCTAGGAAGGGAGCTGCCTAGAAGAATACATCACTAGAGTCCTGAGTAGTGGACCTCATGTGCTCACCATGGCTGAAGCACAGAGTCAAGGCTAGGCTGTTGAGAGGCAAAACAGACGGAAGGAACAGCTGCTGATGAGCAGGCCCTCTGTCAGTCGGAGCTGGTGAGTGCCAGCATTGGTCAGGCCCAGACTTCAGCTGGGCAGCACAGTGTGCTCCTTCTGGAAGTCATGTAGAGGAGGAGAGGGCATGGAAGGGCATGTTCAGATCCTGCAGGGATGCCTGTGGGGTCAGGTCCTTGCCTCATCCATCCAGGGCTTTGCTCGTTGCTTGCTTTACCCTCTGGTTTCTGAGTGATCATGAAAAGGACTCTACATTTTACCAAATGTTGGCGGAGACTGCTTGTTTGTTCCTGGCCACCCATACCCCAAATAATCACATAGAGACTATATTATTCACTGGTTGGCCAATCACTTAAGTGTATTGCTAGCTAGCTCTTATATCTTAAATTAACCCATTTCTATTATTTTATATTTTATCACGAGGCTCATGGTTTACCAGTACTGGCACACGGGTGTCTTTCTCCTCCCGTGGCTATATGGCGTTTCTCTGATTCTGCCTACTCTCTCTATGTATCTTTTCCAGCCTGCCTATATTCTGTTAAGCTATTGGCCAAAAGCAGCTTCTTTATTAATCAGTGGCAATAAAATATATTAACAGCATACAGAGGGGAATCCTCCATCACCTCCCCATTTTCTGTCTAAATAAAAAAGGTTTTAACCTTAACATACCAAGATAACAAAATAGTTATCAAGCAAGAATTATAGTTAAAATATTTATTTATATCTACTTTATTTTTTATGACATCATGATGCTGATAGAGCTACTTTAAGATTGGTTTTGGGTGATTGGTTTTGGGTACCAGCTGCTAAAATGATTCCAACTTGGTTAGCTGAAATGGTGCACCTTCTTACAATGTTCTGGCCAAAACTTCAAATAAGAACTTCAGAAAAGCCCTAATGAATACTCATTTACAATTATACCAGACAATAATCTTGAAACTTAACCATCATTTTAGTTTTATAGGATCCCATAGAAAGAACACTGCCCCCATGACAGCTGGAAGCAATTCTAGAAGATGATGCCCTCTCTCCCAACAGCTTGTTCTTAGAGTTAGGGACATCAATTTGGGGTTGATTATAACTGGTATAGGGTTGGGAGTTGGGGTGGAAATTATGTAGGCTCAGGGATCTTCTTGGAAAAAAAAAGGAAATTTGATGGGATAATAGGTAGATTATTGTGAGATTACTCATGCTAATAACAGTGAGTACTAGAGTGAATACTTCTGAGCTATTATGTATAGGTAATTCACATTTGTATAGATTCTTGTATATTGATACAGATTCAAATTATATTTATTATATTGCATATGCTCCTATTTCTGTTTACAACATTTGTACACCTAAGCAAAGTTATTTTGTCATATTGCATACATGCATGCTTCTACTACCTCTGCTTAAGACATTTTGTATATTGATACAACTTTAGGATATATTGATCATATTGCACTATAGATTTTTACTTCTGATCAAGATACTTATACATTGTTTACATTTTGAGGTGATTGTCAGCATTTGCTGCACAGTTTTTAAAGATTGTTTAATATTCTAATATGAGGCTTTATTCTTTAAGCTGTATAGGTATTAAGAATTATAGGTCAATAGTCATCCATGTTTGTCAAACTTGTAGTTAGACTAATCAAGTTCTTTAGATACGGAGAGATTGTATTTTGCATAGATAGGCAATCTTCATCCACTTCAAAGAACTGTTGAATATGGCATTTAAATAACTTAGGGTTCTGTGATGTGAGACACAATTGCTCCTGGCAGCACGGATCTTTTCCCAAGAGAATGTTGGGCACTGAAGATACTCTACTTGAAGCTTTTTTTCTTCTTGGCAAAACTGACCTTTGGGCAGAGAACTGCCCATGCCTCCACCACTGACAAAATGCATGGTATCTGGACTAGACAAGCAAGATACAAGAGAAAAGACTGCCAAACCTTGTCAAGACAAGGTAAGACAGTTCTGAAATTTTTCCTGCCTCTGAAAATGGCCTGTTAGTCACTCCAGGCCTTAGCCCAAATTGGTTGTTCCAACGTTGCAAATGAGACTTTGGGTGATTGCCCAGGTAGCCAGTTGTCTCTGTCATTTATTGTGCATTTTGGAAGTTGCTTGATTGTACTTCCTGCCTACTCAGGTAATATTATTTCCCTTCTTGGGTCTTCAATGGGGTTGAAGACTAGATAGTTGTAGTTACTTTCCTCTTATAACTTGGCCAAGTTATTTACAATACAAGACTTAAACTCATTAGGATAGGATAATTATTGAAACATTTATCACTTGTTTCTTGCTTGGTATTGTTTGTGCTGATTGTAATTCTAATTTTATACTTGTTATTTGTTCTTACTGTATATAGTTTTTATTAGGCTTAGAACTCCTTTATTTAGACAAAAGCGAGAGGTGCTGTGGGAACTCCTTCAGCCAGTAGCCTTTACGATACCAGCCCATTTGGGCGTTGTCTCTTATACTATAAATGCAGCCATAAAGCGCTCTCTCTCTCTCTCTCTCTCTCTCTTTCTCTCTCTCTCTCTCTCTCTCTCTCTCTCTCTCTCTCTCTCTCTTCTCTCTCTCTCTCTCTCTTTCTCTCTCTCTCTTGGCTGTGACTTCTGAATTTGGTTCTTGCTCCCCATTTCTACAGAGGACTGTGATTTGTGAGTCTACCCCTAAATAAAGAACCCTTTATTATGCTCAATTCTGAGCTAGTGTAGGATTACTTTATAGCGTCCATCCAAAGGCCAGTGTGTGTCTACTAGTTAACATATGTGCTTGCCATAATGAAATGAGATGCACTCATCTCCCTGGGACTAATCACTAAAGTGGTCTCAGAAGTAATTTCTCATTGGCGGGGTGGGGGAAGAAAACAAAAATTTCACTGTGAAATAATCATAGCTTTCTGTTTTAATGATGAGAGCTTATTGCGCACCAGGCACTATGAGGTAGCATTGTTACCCACAGCTCTGCAGATCTCCCTGCACCAGGCACTGTGCAGTAGCATTGTTACCCACAGCTCTGTAGATCTCCCTAGACCTTATGGGGAAATGGTATAATAACAACACTTCACAAGGATCTCATCTGGGAAGTTGAATATCTCGAGGAGAAGAGCACATCCGGTGATGAGAGTTAGGATCTCCCTGGTCCCGAGGCATGGGCCCCGATCACTAAACCATACTTCTGTCTGCTCTGGTACTGGGGGCCAAAGGTCTGTCATGAACATTACCATGCAAGACATTGAAGTGCACAAGTCTTTAGCAGAGCTCTAAAGTGTCGTGCAGCTGAGTAATAACCTTGTTAAAAGAATTGTGTTATATGGAGCTGATGTTCATTAACACAGAACTGAGAGTTCCAGGTAAGAGCTTGGAGGTGGGGTGGAGACTTTCTGAATTCTCCAGGTAAGAGAAGGACAGAGCGGAACTCAGAACGGACGCATGATTGTGGCAAAAGTGAGTCACTTTAAAATAGAGTGCATGGGGTTAGCTATGGCATCATCCGAAGGAGGAACACCTACCTCATGCCGTGCCTGAAGGCATGTTCCAGGTCGGTTATAGACCCAAACCTGTAGAGCAAAGCAAGAAGCACCAAGATGGCAATGTGGGCAGCCCCAGCTCTGCAGTGAAAGCACAAATTGTCTGAATAAAAGATGATCAAAGCAGCTGGGAAGATGGCTCAGTGGGTGAAGTATTTTCTTTTCAAGCATGAAAACCTCTAATGATAGCTCTTGCTGAATATTTCTCTTCACACTGGGCCAACTTAGAGCCAACATCTGCCTCTCAGAAACTTGGGGAAACTATGAATCAGCAGTCGAATCCCCAGTGCAGATACATAAAGGTTTCTAATTGCACCTGGTACCACTTCAGCTCACAAAGGAGAAACCGGAGGCAGGTTCCAAGTCATCAGGAAGCAGTTGTTCAACTCCTTGCATTCCCTTCTGGGCTCCACAGTGAAAGAAAGCCTCTCGCATCTCCCACAATCCTCGCTAATAAAATTTAACCACATTTAAGTCAATAAAACTTCACATAGGAGCATAAGGTCTGGAAAAAGAATGGTTACTTAAGAACGTGCTCAGTGGAAAATACTAATTGATGAGATTGATAGAGATCAAATAAATTAACCAAATCTGTATTGTAAAATTTATATTATATATAATAGCTTGTAATGTATAGTACATATAATATTTGTATATTTTATATATCATACACACATATTTTCTATTGCAAACTATTTACTTATATGGTCTAGGGACCAGGTCAAATAATTTTGTTGCTTTAATGGTATTTAATGTTGCTATGATTCTGAGAAAGATGTTTTATTAAAAAATAGTCTAAACATCCTCAGGATGAAAATGGGGAGGTTAAGAATTACTGAATTCTTTGTATTTATTTGAAATGCCAAGTACTTCTTAAGTGTAGTGTGCTTTAACCTAAGTAAAAATTACATATTTTTCAATAGACAGAATAATAACCAAATAAATACAGTTGGATTTGTTGAGGTCCTAAGATTATGAATTTTTTTACTTGTAATTCTATTAATGTTACTATAATGTGATAAAATATATAAAATCAGACATTTAGTTCATGGCTATATTGACTTTATAGTAAATTCTGCTATGACTGGCTGTGGGGCCTGCAGTACGAATTGTTGAATTTGTTCACATGCCACACAAGTTCCAGGAGTCCTTAGTTCC